GTTTCAGATGTCGTTTCTCGCAACAATGGCGCGAATGGGAATGGGAAGCGGTGGAAATGCTTATGGAGGTTTAGTTCCTCCTCCTCCACCGTTGATGGTCCCTTCTATGGCTAACAGAGACTGCACCAACGGTTCTTCAGCTCCTTTAAATGACCCATACAGTGCTTTTCTCGCACAGGTAGAAACCGCTTTTAGCTGTTTTCGAGAAAGGTGTTTCGGTTTTATACAAATCTTAGAGCTCACTGTTTTTGGTCATTCTGATGCAGACAATGAATATGGATCTCTACAACAAAATGGCTGCAGCGATCTATAGACAACAGTCTGATCAGGCTACCAAGGTAAACACCGGCATGCCTTCAAGTTCTTCGAATCACGAGAAAAGAGATTAGTCTAGCGGAGTATTATAGATCCATATATAGATCTTAAAAGACAGATGTGTTGTGTTGTAACAAAAAAAAAAACTGTTTTTGAGTCAGAGATATAAAACTTGAAAGCTTCACAACTTCATCAGTAAATGTCAAAGTACATATATGCACCCTTTTGCTATTTCGAGGACTCTCTTACTCTCTTCCTCTTAAAATATGTTAAAACTTCTCAAAGTTTAAAAATCTTGAATGTTATATTAGCTCATAAGCACATAAATAAGTTTTTGTTCTGTTAATTTTTCACTGTTCGGGACTAACCTTAGACGCAGATGTTGTGGCCTTGCTCTGTGGTTTCTGAGATGTCTTAGTAGTTTCTTGAAGAGAGATAACAGTTTCAAAAGCACCAACAAGAGCTTTCACTTTGCTTTTCCTCACTTTTGTCAACTTATTCATTGCCTCCTCGATCACATTGTTAAACAATGTAATCATTTTCTTCTTCCCTTCTACTTTTCGATGCCTTAAAACAACCTTCTCACGTTTACTACTTTCACAAGCATCGCTTTTCGTCTCAAGAACTTTCAGATTCTTCTTCTTTCCTTCGGTTTCGGTTTTCTGTTCCTGCACAACTCTCTTTTTGAACTTGATCCATGTCGGAGAAGAAGAATCCTCTGGTTTAGGTTCAAGAACCTTCCCTCTCTTGAAACTCAGCTGCTTCGCTTGAGTCACCTTTACTCCTGTCCTCTTCGGCCTAATCTTCTTCTCCGGTTTTGGATTTGCTTCAAGTTCTGCAGAACCACTTTCTTTCTTCATATTCAAACCAGTACTGATACTACCAGGAATCTGCCTTGTAGGACTCTGATTTGCGGAACCACGTTTAGGAGTAGTAGTCAAGCTTTTATGTCCACTTTTCTTCTCAGACAATGGCTGCTTCTCGCTACGAACACCTTGAACGCTTGATTCAACAACACACACTGTCTTCTCTTTGACATCTTCACCGCTAATTGTCTGAATCTTCGCTTTCTCCTTATTCTTTGGAGCACAAACCTTAGAACTTCCGCCATCGGCTCTAATCTCTATAGCAGCACTTGACTTCTCATTTCTTAAGCCAGGAGAAACCTTTTTCACAGCAGCTGAACCACTCAGAGTGTTACCGGTTTCTTTCTTCTTCCGAGCTTTATCATTGCTTTTAACACTTGAACCATTAACAGATCTCGCCATCTCACTACCTTCCCTGGTGCTAGATGATTCTGAATTGACAGAACCACATGGTTTCCTTTTCACAATCAACACATCTCTCTTTGCAGCCACAGAACTCTCGGGTTTAGTAACCGGACTCTGTCTATTCGCACTTCCCAAAGACTTCCTTGTCTCCTCTGAGCTTTCAACACTTTTCCTCCTCACATTCTTCCAAGGTTTCACCACATCATCTTGATCACATCTCTTCCCATGTTTACAGAGATCATGAGTCGAAGCCACACGATGGTTCCCGCGATAACGGGACTGAACCTGCGGTTTACCTATCGTTCCAGTCGAATGCCGTCTCAAATTCCCACCTTGTGGCTTAGGCACCTCTTTACTAACCTCTGGTATACACTCTTCTTG